GGCCAGCAGCTGTGTGGTAGGGGCAGGCCTCGGCCCGCCGCCGCTGGCCAGCTGTGCGGTGTGAGCAGCTGCCGTGTGCCGCCTCCTGCCCGGAGGGCCCTGGCGTGGGGGGTTCTGGGCGTCTGCCCAAAAGCTCAGGCCACTTCCTTCACCCACGGGGACAGGACTTCCAGGAGAGGGCTGGAGGACGTAGGCAGCCGCGAGGACGGCTGGGGGGGCGGGGAAGGGCCATCTGCTGCGCCGGAGGAGGCGGGGTGGAGACCCCCGCGGGCCTCGGCCCTCGGCGTCCTTACGCGGCGGCTGCATCTCCGCGGCCTCTGTCCTCACACAAACTCTGCTGCGCCCCTTGGCACTGCCCCTGGTGGGTCAGGCCGGCCAGCGTGAGTGTGGAGGCTGGGGCTCCGCGTGCCCTCCCGGGGCGCCTCCCAGTGGCAGTGGAGCCGGCCTGGGGCGCATGGGTGGGCACCCTCGTGCCAGGGCCTCCTGGCCCTCCGCGCTGGACACGGTCCTGGGCGGCTGGGGCCTGGCAGTCTGCGGAATGCGCCTGCCTCAGAGTAAACACGCCTCAGGCTGCTGAAAGGCGGACCGGCCTCCGCTGTGCGTGACCCCAGCTCGGTTCTCAGACCTGGCTCCCCCAGAGCGACCCCACCCCAGGGCAGCGGGGCTGAGCGGCTGGACAGATGCCCCGTGACCCCAGACCCGGCCCACCTGGCCGAGGGCTGGCACCGGAGGCGCTCGCCTCCCGGGATTATCTCAGAGGCTTGTTCGGGCGCTGGAGAGGACAGTGGTCGTGAAGGCCTCGGGGCGCGCAGGCCCCAAGCCGTGTCCGGGCAGAGCCTGCCTGTGGACGCGGCTCCCGCCTCCCGCGGGCCCGGCTGCCCCGCACACGGCCACGCGGGAGCCTGAGCAGCGGGGCGCGGAGCCAGTGCCGTCACCCGGGCTCCGCCACGGGGGTGGGGTGCCAGCGAGGCGGGACCCCGGCGCCCGCCTCTCCTCTGCTCTCCTCTCGTTCCCAAACCAGGGGTGGCTGTGATGAAGCTGAAGAACCCCCCCGTGAACAGCCTCAGCCTGGAGCTGCTGACCGAGCTGACCATCAGCCTGGAGAAGCTGGAGAACGACAAGACCTTCCG